TTACAGCATCTATGATTTATGATCTCTCATAAAGTTTCCATTCTATTCATATTGTTTATTTTATTATGTTCATTTAATTTTCCAAATAAATCTGTCAACTTCTATGATTATCATCCTTCATAAGTGAGCCTAGTCATGCGTTTATGTCATGCATATCTGCTGAAATAATTGTAGATGTAGGAGTATATTTCATGTGAAAGATAGTTTCCTAATTAGATTTACATAACCTGTACAACCTCTGTAGATTCCATCAATCAGTAGCTATATACCTATTGCCTCTGCGTTGTATGGCATTCAAAGCTATGATGCTCTTCACCATTGCTACTGGTCTCCTTTTTATTGTAGCCTTTTCAGGTCTTGGACACTGTGAGGAGTATTATGTGTCATCCAGTACTCTAGAGTGTACTGATGACCTGGAACCATGCCACAGTTTGCTCTTCTATTTAAATGACTCTCAACAGTACTTTGTCAATGATTCCATTTTCTATTTTATGAATGGAACTCACATTCTTGATGAGCATGAGCTACTGGTTATTAGAGATGTGAATAACCTCACTTTCAAAGGACTGGATTATGAGTTGGAGGATGGTTTCAATGAAACTGTAAGGCAGTCAACAGTTGTCATAACATGTCAGGAGTCAAGGAGGGGAATTCTCTTCTTCAATAGTTCACTGGTCAGTCTTATTGGCATTAAAATAACCAATTGTGGGGGTGGTTTGCCTATTGATGTAGCAAATACAATTTTACCATTTGAGAGTTTGTATACAAAATTTGATTTCATAGACCACTTCTTTGCACTTGCTATAGTTCATAGTAACACTATCACATTGCAAGATGTGTCAGTGCAAAACTCGACAGACTATGGGCTATTTTGTATCAATGCGCTGAATATCAATATATCCTATTCATCTTTTGCTGGTAATAACTTGGCAGGCCATGAGAACTGCACTATCAACAGTTGTGTTGGTGGCAATGCACTACTAGTCTACACATCTCTTGAAAATTGTACCAAATCAATTTAATGTCTATTTGGTCAATGTGTACAATTCTAATTTCTCTTTTGGTTATGATAATGGAGTGTATACTCTAGAAT